TGCCCAAGTCTGGTATAAATTGTATAATATAGTGTAACTCATTAATCAAAAAGAATATGGCGCAGTGGGCCTAGAGTAAAGAGCCAATATCAGAGGCAGCGTCCTTATCTGAGCCAGCTTCCTTATCTCTGTCATACTTCACTGTCCCATAGCTGGACCGCTTAATAGGACATAGCTCCAGTGCAACCCCATCTTCTTCTCCTGTGTGCACTGAGGCAAGAGGCTGAACAAATGAAAGATGAGTCCTGACAGAGCTCTATAGTAAAGGTGACCCAATACACTCTAGTCCATCGCTCTAGCGTTTACCCCGAATCAATTATTTAAGTTGAGGGGGGCACAGACGGGCTCGCGGTCCCGTACGCAGCCAGTGCCAGAGATACGCCGGCCAAGGTCACCAGAGCCAAACACAATGAATGAGACGGATCAGCTTCTCTTTCCACTCCGCAGGCCAAACCATGACATCAGCGCAGAGGGAGAGGTTATCCCGGGGGTGGCGAGCCTCGAGGATTTTCACTCGACATCAGATAGTGCTTATTGCGATTAAACTTGCAATTACGCTTTGTAATCAGGATTGAGTTCACAGAGCACTTTTAAAGCACCCAGAAGTCTTAGTATTCAATGGGACTAGACCAGAACTAAACCGGGACTAAACCGGGACTAAAAACTAAACCTAGGCTAAACCTGGGTATAAACCAGGACTAATCCAGGACTAAAATAAAACTAAAACAAGACTAAACCAGGACTAGACCAGGACTAGACCAGGACTAAAACAGGACTAAAAACTAAACCTAGGCTAAACCTAGATTAAACCTGGGTCTAAACCGGGACTAAACCGGGAGTAAACTGGGAGTAAAAACAGGACTAAAACAGGACTAAAAATTAAACCTGGGACTAAACCTGGGACTAAACCTGGGACTAAACCTGGGACTAAACCTGGGACTAAACCTGGGACTAAACTTGGGACTAAACTTGGGACTAAACTTGGGACTAAACTTGGGACTAAACTTGGGACTAAACTTTGGGACTAAATTTGGGACTAAATTTGGGACTAAATGAAATCCACTTGAAGTTTAAATTTTTCAGGCTTTTTTTGAATGACAGGGTGAAGCAGAGTTGAAGTCTGTTTCTCTGGGACTAAACCTGGACCTGGACCAAAACAGGACTAAAAAAAAAAAAAAGAGTAAATTGAAATACGTAGAGTAAAGATAGGCCAGTATATCAGGCAGATATTTGGACTATTTAGCGCATCAGCAATCGGCCTTAAAACTCCACCACACGCCGAAATTTTGTTTTGGTCCATTTACTGCACACAAGGCTTTTTATTACCACTTTCATACAAAAAGATAACTCCACAAAACCTGACTACAGCTCTCTTATAGGTTTGTGGCATATTTAGGATGCGTTCTTCTCTCAAACAGAAAACAGTCCTTCCCACTTTGTGATGTCGTGTGTGGTGGCACAGGAAGGGTTTTTACACTGGGTTTTTAAAGTCCACACACCTTCACTAGAATCATTTGTATGAATTAATTGCTTATCTCTCCTCAACTAAAGGTAAAAGTAGCTGTTAACATGACATCATAAGGTGCAACAGAGCATTTATTTATTCAAAGGATTACTCCAACACAACTCCAGGTCTGTTTTTGAGGAGGAAACATTCTCAATATTTGACATCGCTTATATATTTACACCAAATGATGTGAAATGGTGAAATATCCAGCACAGAAAGTATAATTTTAATAGTTCTGGATTGAAAACATGCCTAGTTTCCCGCAACACTGAGCTCAGCAGTTATGACTTTCCACCACCACTAGAGGGCAGTGTATGCAAACGTTTGACTGCGCCGCTCACGTTCACATAACAGTGTTTTGCAATGGAAAATCTCTGTATAAATGTTTGACCATCAGAATCAGACTGCATTTAAATGATAGCCACTTCCTCTCCCCAGGGCCAGAGCAGAAGCAGAGCAGGTCTGTTTACCAAATCCTGGCTTTACAAATAATCATAAATCTGTCTTGTAAAATGGAATATATTAAAGGCGCACTGTGTAACTTTTAGATAGAGGGTCCGTCACCTGTTTATTTCTGTGGATATGTCATTGCTCTGCCTGGAATGTTCCACAGTGTGACATTAAACAGCTCTACTTGACATTTATTCAATTATTGGTGGTTTTATAGCTCAAAAAACTGACATTCTGACTGTGTGGGGTTGCCTATCTGTAGATCTGACCTGTAACTTGGTATGGTTTGGTCTCCACATGAGGTTAGAAAGGTTTAATGCCATACTGTTGAACTTCCCAACACAAAAGAACATCTTCAAGGAGAAAAACATCTGACAAATCCTCCAAGAAAAGTTACACAATGCACCTTTAACAAGATCTCTGACATGTCCGCGTCATGTGAACCATCTCCTGGTTTAGTCCTAGTTTAGAGCAGAAAAGTTTAACATTTAAGACAAAGCAACGATATAATATCTGCACGAAGCCTTTGACGGACCCTCCACCCGAAAAGTTACACAATGCAGCTTTAAATGTTATGCTCAAAAATAGCTAGAGGGGAACACGGCAGCTTCTATTTCCTGTAGTCTGCAAAACAAGCAGGCGGGATCACGTGTGTGTGTATTGTGCGATGGAGAATGTACAGTGTAAGGAGATATGCCTCAGGTAATATAGGGCATGCTTTAGCTTTCAAAGGACAAACACTCACACACACACACACACACGGGCAGGATGTGCTGTTAATGCAATGCTGTTGAGAGACTGAGTAAGAACTAAAGAGTGAATATTCTCTAACCACACGAAGCTGAACTCAAACCACAGAGTCCACTGCTCTCAACGTCTGCACCTTACCCTACTGCACTTCAACTGTGGCCCTACTTTAAAGGTCCAATATTATGCAATTTTCTGATCCGTGTTATAATGCCGTTTCCTCGTCACACGTTATTTTGTTTCATTCACACACGTTTAACACACAAAAGCTGCGCATTTAGGCTGAGTTCTTCTCTCAAGCACAAAACATTCGACGCTTTAAGGGTCTTCTGAGACATACTTGACTCTGATTGGTTAAATCCACCTGTCAATCACTCAGAGGCCGACCAATAGTTTTGTCAGCCACTCCAACACATGGTAATACAGTACCGTATTTTCTGCACTATATGGATGGTCTTGATTATAAGACGCACTGTCATTGAATGGTCTATTTTCGAACTTTTTTCACAAATAAACTGCACCGGACTTTAAAGGAAACACAACAGTTGGATGGGTGAGTGGTTTTGTTTGTTTGTGGCGTTCACGGTGACTCTGGGCTTTGTTCAGTTGTGGCGTGTAGGGAGGGTGCTGTCTGGGACCAACGGATTGTCGGCGTGTTCACAGTGACTCAGTTGTTCAGTCGTGTCTAGAAGTGGCACATTGCACTCGCTTTTTCGGTTCGTTCCTCCGTTCCGTTCCTCGTCGGCGTGGAGTGATGAGTGTGGCTGCGGGTGTTTTTCGCCCTGCTGTCTGCTCTGTGCGTGTTTGCGTGCACTGCGGCTTTGTAGTTTACTGAAGTTGTGCTGGGACGCCCGAGTGGATTCGTGTATAGGGCGCTCTGGCTTGCGCAGTCGTTTTTTGAATGTGGTTGGAGGCTTAAGAGCGCGCCCTATAGTAAAATACAGTACATTAAATTCCTCGCATTACAGTTCTCCGTGTTTCCCAGCATTTTGTAGCAAACTATTGGTTTCTGCACAGTAGGGCTGGGTATCATTATGAAGCTGCCGATACGATATATACCTCGATACATAGTCCACGATACGATACATATCTCGATACAGTGCTTTTTCAGTTCAGTACGATATATTTCAAATCAATTCTATACGGTTCAATAAAAAATAAAGGCTAAATCATGGCTGTGACAGAAAAGCCTTTGTTAAACCAGTTTTGGTGCAAAGTTAATATGAAGCACAAACATTTTAATCCTGAAAACAGTGAAAATGTCAAATGTGTCGCATAAATGAGTTTTTTTCCTCTAAACAAGCAACAAAACTGTAGCTGTAACAAAATAATTTAGTAAAATATACAAAAAAATAGACTTGGTGATATATCGATACAGCAGCCCACGATATCAATACTGTATCATTACATTAAATGATACGATATATCGATATTTTGATATTTTTGCACACCTCTACTGCGCAGTCTAATATTCTCCCCTATGGGCTAAAATAAGATGAAAAATATACGACAAATACTACATTTACTGTAAGTAGTATGCTTCTAAAAGTCGAGAAGTAGCTGTTTAAAGATCAAATAGATGCAACTAAACTAAAACGTAGCGGTTATACTGGCAAATTTGGAGCCGAATTCCATTTTAGGAATAGGAAACGATGAAATGGCGAAATAAAAAACACCAGGATCAAGTAGAGCGGGTTAATACGAACATTTTAAGACCAAAATAAGAGGTGAGGCGTGACAGTTTTTCAGTGTAAAGTGAATTGGAGCGAGAGTTGGAGACTGAAGCGCACCCATGCTCACTTCCTATTTGGACGGCTATTTATACAGGTTATGGTTGCCCCAGATATTTGACACAGATAGTTAATTTAAATGGAATAGTGTGGAGCATTCTAGGCAAAGCAAAAACACGTAAGACTCTCCACCAGAAAAGTTACATAGTGAACATTTAAAGGTGCATTGTGTAACTTTTTTGTTGAGGGTCTGGCATCTGTTTATTTCTATGGAGATGTCACTGGTCTGTCTGGAATGTTCCACAGTATGACAGTAAACAGCTCTACCCTTTCATTTATTCAATTACAGGTGGTTTTATAGCTCAAAAATACCTAGAAAAACAGATATTCTGAATGAGCGAGGTCGCCTCTCCACAGATCTGACCTGTAACTTGGTCTGGTTTGGTCTGGTCTCCAGGAAGACAGAAACCAATAACATCTCCCCTAAGAAAAACATCTGACTGACTCTCCACCATAAAAGTTACACAACACACCTTTAAATACACAAACCTACGTCAAACACTCACCTCTCCTCATTCTTGAAGACAAATTTTCTGAGTTTTAGGTCTCGTAGGACCAGTCCATTGTCATGGCAGTGTGCTACAGCGGATACTATCTGGTGGAACAGTCTGGCAGCCTCTTCTTCTGGCAGCTTCTTACAGGTGCGGACGAAAGAGTGCATGTCCCCGTGACTCCTCTCGAAGAACACATAGGCCCTGGTTTCGCCCAGAAGGATCTCCAGGATTTGGTTTATGTGTTGGTGCTGTCCCAGGGCGAAGTAGGCCGCCAGAGACTCCTGGTACCGGCCAACGTCGAAGACCTGAAGAAAGGAGAAAAGGAATAGAGTTAGTGGAGGTGAAATACATCAGATTTTAGTGTTTCGATTATTTAGAGAAGAATTATTTACAATGATTCACGATAACTGACACTATGACCAAACAACTGTGGAAACCAAGGCTATGTTTACAACACTAAGATCGATATTTAAAGTCTGTCTTGTGAACTTTAAGTCATGTTATAATGTTGTTACCTGGAGTTGTGTTTTGTTTCATTCACACGTTTGAGTAACCCTTTATTATTAGTCTGTCTACATCTCCAAAGCTCCAAATGCTCCGTTCCGTCTTGTGATGTCATACACTGGTAGCTTTCAAGTTAACAGCTACCGTTTACATTTTGTCTAGTAAAGATTGCAAATTCCAGAGCTGAAATCACCCAAATGATTCTAGGAAATGTGTATGGAGTTTAAAAACACCGGAGCACTTCCTGTATTAACACATGACATCACAAGAAGGAACAGAGTGTTGTCTGTTTCAGAAAAGAACTCAGCCTAAATATGCAGCTTTTGTAAGTTAAAACACGAACATGAACACACAACTCCAGATGTTTTTGTGATAAGGAAACATTGCAACATAGATGAGAAATTGGTGTAATATAGACTCTTTAATACAATTTATGGAGATATTTTTTACTGATCAAAAAAACATAAGTTACAAATTAAATATAGTTATATCTATGAATATAAGACAATACTACATGCGTAAAGTATCATTTGTATTACCAATTTGTGTTCAGTTTGTTTTTAGATTATGAGTTCCACCATAGTTTACTGTATTAATGGGAAACACTGCATCTCTTTCATTCATTGTTTAATTAATCAATAGCACCAGTCATCTACAATGTGAACAGCTTCATAAAATCAATGTTAATGTAATAAACAGGCAGTTAAAAAGGTCACTTCATTATTCTGTTTTTTCTGAAATTCATGATTTTTCTAATATTTTCGTGTTCTTTCAGTTTAAAGCTCCTGGGTAGAGCTGTACAATTTGAAATTATTGGTAATATAATGTTATAATGCCACCAAAAACAACTAAATATCTTTTGAAAGAGAAAATTATTACATTATTATTTGTTAAACCACCACAATCATGTTCTGAAATGCTTTTTTCAGTTTTCTCAAATGTTAAAGGAGCCATATTACGCCATTTTTCTGATTTGTTATAATGTTTCTTCCTCACAGACATACCCAGAGTTGTATTTTGTTTCATACATACATTTTTTAAGGTCAAGTTTTTTTCTCTCAAACCAAAAAAAACTCTGTTCCACCTTGTGATGTCATGAGGTAACAAAGAAAGCGCTCCACTGTCTCCACTTTTTAAACTCCACACACCTTCACTTGAATTATTTGGATCATTTCAGCCCCAGAATTGCCAATTTCTACTAAACTAAATGTAAAATGTAGCTGTTAACTTCAAAACTACCGCTTCATGACATCACAAGGTGGTACAGAGCGTTTGGAGATTTTTAGATGTAGACTTGAATGAAACAAAACAACTCTAGGTCTGTTTCTGAGGAAGTAACAACATTCTAACATGACATAAACCTTACAAGAGTCAAATTTTGATAAATACAGGCCCTTTAAAATCTACATTGTGGAATGGATGTAATCACAAGTGGAACATTTGTCCAAAACTTCGCTATCCGATATCCTTCCCAAATTTTTCAGACCCCAAATCGGAGGTTGAACCATGATTTATGGACCTAATCATCTTATTAAATGGTCGTCTTGAGGTCACTGTAAAAGGGGGAAATGGAACATGCGGTAAGAACTGAATATTTTCCATTTCATTCGTGGAGAAAGGCCAGAGCGAGCATATTTTGTAACGCCAAAAAAGCAGACTACTCGATGTCTTTGTTAAAACGGACTGGCAAGTTTCACACATTGTTTGGAGATTCGTGTAGTTGCTCTGAGGCCTGGTTGGCACTACCTTTTTGTTTCCATAGTAACCCCCCATTGACTTTCAGCACACTCGGTACAGGTGAAGCACTTTACAGTCAATACAAAGACTCCATCTGGCTCGATCTCATAGGCTACTCTCTGCTCGCTCGGGTCTACGCTGGATTTTCCTTTCAAATATGAATGAAACGAAGAAATAAATGCAAAACAAAAAATCTGCTTTGCACATTTTTCGATAAAGGGTTGCCTATTTGAGAAGAGTGATCAGTTTTGTGAAATTGAAATGCATTAAAAGTGCATTTTTTTAAGTTTCTGGTGGAGCGTCTGTCAAATGCTTTTCTCCAGTATGGCGTTAAACCTTTCTATCTTCATGGAGACCAAACCAGACCAAGTTACAGGTCAGATCTGTGGAGAGGCGACCCCGCTCACAGTCAGAATGCTTGTTTTTCACTGTATTTTTGAACAGTAGTTTAATAGATGTGTAAAGTAGAGCTGTTTAATGTTGTACAAAGTGCACAATTTAACATTTTCTGACATAAATTAAGTCAGGATTTAGGAAAAGTAATGGCAGAATATATGAACTAATTCCTATAACCCTACTGCCTTCATGAACTGTATAAAAATCAAAAAATAAACAACTTGTACATACACTATAGCAGGCATTCCCAACATGACCCAAATCTGAGCCCCTGAAGATTTTCAGGGCGTCCCCAGGGTTTCGTAGAAGATCAATCCAGACTAGATTGTGTGAATTTTAATGAAGCTACGGCATGTTAATTGGCGATGTAAAAATGTATAATGACGTTATAATGTTTTGAGACGTCTTTTAGACCAGAAAATAATGATGTTTTTCTTATTATAAAACCGAACAACGTGGGGGTCGCCAGCATATTCACGGGTGAAATAGGGGTCACTGCTGTGTTTATGGTTAATAGATAAATTGATTAGTTGTCGTTGAAGGCATGATACAGAGGCGCAGCTAGTGACTATTCAAAATGATTCTGTAGAATGCAATTAATCTATAACCCCACACGAGAATCAACAACAAAAATCTACATAAAGAAAGAGCAAAAATACACGAAATTGCATTGGTTTCCTTTCGAGATAGACCGATATATGGGACCGATATTTGCCCTGTTTAGAGTATCAGGTATCGGTCGTAAATCTCCAGGAGAGGCCGATATTTTATATTTTATTTGGCCAAACCCCCAGCTTTAATATGCAAGAAAAATATGAGCACAAAGCTTTATTTGAACACTTACCAAAAGGGGGTACTGCAAAAATGTGACTAGACTGAACTCCTACACAGTTTGTAGTAAAAAAATAAAAGGTTGTGAATGAGAATTTAAATTTGATAATTTGAGAAAAATTACCCAAATCGGCCCAAAAATATCAGTAGGTGTTCTAAACAAACCAGAGGAACCAAATCAGTATAAGCTATGAAAAAAATGCTTTTTTTTTCAAATGTAAGTTAGTGAATTTTGGTCTTTGGTCTTAAAAATCACATTAATTAATCAACATATGAAAAAAAATATTGCTTATATGCATCTTATCTCATCTGGTGCATTGCAAAGTGGAGATAATTTAAGCTTTTATTTCCTGCATAAAGATTAAAATGTCAAAGAGTATCCTGCTGCACACACGGAAAATGCATTACAGCCTCTGCCATACAAGTAATGTCTAAATAAAAATCCAGAATAGCACGAGGAGAGAGAGAGAGGGAGAGAGGGAGGGAGTGTAGAAAGAGAGAGAGAGGGAGTGCGAGGAGAGGGAGTGTGCGCGGCCGGGTTACTCACTCCTTTGTCAACGTTACATCATGCAACCCAAACCACGCAGCTCTCCTCGCTCCATTCACTTTTTCCACTGGGCTTCTGTGCCAGCTCTCTATTTACAATTTGAGTAATTATTAAAAAGCACACGAGGCAGGTCGGTTATGAAACTCAACACGTAGACCTGGTTTAGTGTCGGATCTGACCTATTTTGGATCCGAGTTTGAGTCCTGGTTTAGAACATGGGGATAGTCCTGGTTCAGTCCTGGTTTAGTCCCTGGTGTACATATAATATCATACTATTATAATCCAGGTCTAGTCCCTGGTTTAGTCCCTGGTTTACATATTAGATCATACTATTTCAGACCTGGCTTTAGACCCTGGCTTTAGACCCTGGCTTTAGACCCTGGCTTTAGACCCTGGCTTTAGACCCTGGCTTTAGACCCTGGCTTAGTTTCAGGTATAGACCAGGTTTACATCTCAATTACAATCCTGGTTTAGACTTTGTCTAGTCTCTGGTCTACATATTATACACTATTTATAATCCTTGTTTTAGTCCCTGGTTTAGTCCCCGGTTTACATCCCTATAATCCTGGTTTAGACCTGGTCTGCATATTATATACCATTATAGTCCCTGGTCTAGTCCCTGGTCTAGTCCCTGGTCTAGTCCCTGGTCTAGTCCCTGGTCTAGTCCCTGGTCTAGTCCCTGGTCTAGTCCCTGGTCTAGTCCCTGGTCTACATATTTTACTACTTTAATCTTGGTTTTAGTCCCTGGTTTTAGTCCCTGGTTCAGTAGTCCTAGTCAGTTAGTCCTAGTTTAGTAGTCCTAGTTTAGTAGTCCTAGTTTAGTAGTCCTAGTTTAGTAGTCCTAGTTTAGTAGTCCTAGTTCAGTCGTTTCCCTCCACACGGTGAGCTCATGTGTACAGTTGCATTACATCGTGGTTAAAATACTGCCTTGGTGTTTTGCATTACTTTAAATGGTTAATCCCACGTATAGTTCAAAGTATTTAATCTATTTGGTTTGCATAGAGCGACGTGGTATTTGCGTATCGCCTACACTCATTAGAATGACATGTGGCTAATCCTTCATTTCAATAAACAAAATTAGAGGTTACATTTTTGCATTGACACTTTGCATTGCAGAATTTACCTAAGCAATTCCCATATATATTCAAATGCAAATATTAAAGTATCGAACACTTCATCGCGGTATGCAGATTTTGCGGATAATATTACATAGGTTTCTTACTGTTAGTAATAAGTTGTAACATTTTCAGTGATGGGAAGAATACTTTGGAAATGTATTTGGCAACAGAATACTGAACAACCAAATTAAGTGGTATTTCGTAATCTATTTTGATACGCGTTCCAATCAGAGCATTGTATTCTGAATACTCTGAGTACTTTTACACCAAGTTCTATTACATTAGTGTAAAAAACATGATCTACAATTAAAAACATCTTTATTTTTGTTGCATTTTCTGATACGGATTAATTTATGTTCAATTAGAGACGAAAAATGGCACATGCACACAGTGTAAGAATGCAAAAACAGTCAAAATTTCTCATTAATATGATGCAATTCAAAACCAAAATTGCATTTATGAAGTACAGTTATGTATTTCTTTTAATTTAGGTGAGCAAGTGTAATTTGAATACCTCCAAATTAGAGTAACTGTAAAAAAAAAAAAACTGTAATAATGAGTATCCAAAGTGCGTATTTTGTTGCACTTTTTGATGTGCATTAATTTATGTCCGATTAGAGACGAAAAATGGCACATGCACATGCAAAAATTGTCTATATTTCTCATTAATATGATGCAATTCAAAACCAACATTACATTTATGAAGTACAGTTATGTATTTTAGGTAAGTACCTGTAATCTGAATACCTCCAAATTAGAGTAACTGTATAAAAAAAAACTGTAAATATGAGTATCCAAAGTATGTATTTTGTTGCACTTTTTGATATTCATTAATTTATGTCCAATTAGAGATGAAAAATGGCACATGCACATGCAAAAATTGTCTATATTTCTCATTAATATGATGCAATTCAAAACCAAAATTGCATTTATGTTTAATTTAGGTAAGTAACTGTAATCTGAATACCTCCAAATTAGAGTGACTGTAAAAAAAAACTGTAAAAATGAGTATCCAGAGTGCGTATTTTGGGTACATGTACTCAGTTACTTCTCAATCCTGCTTGTCAATGCCACGTATAGTCATTGAAGGTTGCATAAGGTAGAGCCTGGTAGATTTCTCAGATTGCCTACTCACTTTACATATGAGCTCTTCCCCGCTGTGCAGGTGGGCGGCTCTGAAAACGTGGTCTCCCTCCAATGGTTCCAACAAAAGGTAATCCCCGATCCGGGAGATACAGTGGGAAGAGTCGGGGGTCTCGGGCGGACTTGGCGATCCGAGGTTGGGGCTGAAACTCTCTGTAGTCCTTAGACAAGATAATTCTTCAAAATCGTGCGTTTTGTGTCGCGATCTCCCATAACGTGAAATGTTAATAGGATTTGACCTTTGTATGTTCATGAGGAATGGTGAAAGAGCTCCACAAAATCGCTTGGCTTGCCTCGTTTGCGTCCTGATGCAATGTCAGACACCGAGCCAAACTTTGAATAAACAAGTAAATAAATGGATAAACTAGACTTTCCTCAAATGGAAAATATGCACGCTAATATCTGCACGTTGGCAAATAGGAAGTCATTCACAAAGTACGCGTAATTTCATGTGCAATCCGGCTATAAACTTGATTCCTTTGTGATCGATTTAACATAAAAGACCAGGATTAAACTACTACTGGCCCTGTCCACTACGCTTTACAGACCTGCTGCAATTTCATTAACAAAAAACAGTTCGATCAACGACGGAAAATCTTAAACAAAGGCTACAAAAAGTCAATTTCTACAATGAATGAAGCGAGAATCTCCTTCGCTAGCTTATTTTGCAGGAATTTTATGGCACGTTTCGTAAAATCGAAACAATTTCACGTATGCAGCTTGCGAGTACGACCATCACCCGCAAGCAAACTAGGTCTAGGAGGTTTTTTTCTTTAGATAATGTTACGTAAATCGACAGACAAACTGTGCCAGCAGGTGCAGAGCTAACCACCTAGCCTCTTTTGCTAAACTAGTACTAGGTCAGTGCACGGCCTCGTTCCAGCAGATCGTATTATCCATGCACGGGAATTGTCATCTACCACAGCGGCAAAAAAGCGCATCGGAAAACGCAGTTGTTCTTTGTGCGCGCCGAGTCCTTTTTGGCCGGTTTCTTGTTGAAATGGAAGAAAAATATCGTGCGTTTTCGTTGGTTCTGGTGTGGCGAGGTTTGGAAAGGATATAAAGGGATAACGGCCAACTTTTCCAGGCCTATCCCGGTGGTTTAGCAGGACATCCTCTCCCTGTGTCGTGGTGCTGCTTCTTACGTGGCTGGGGAAACTAGTCCATTCAGAGGCTGCACGCACACACTGCGCCTGTTCCGAGCGGAGAGAAAGCCCAGTGCCTGCGGACGCACGGAGGAGGGGTTCTACCAAATGAGGCTGGATGACTCTAGAGAGGTTTTTATAGTAACTGAGCCGTGGAGGAAGCAGCCGCCATCTTAGGACAGTATGGTAAAGCTAAAGTGATACAAGATGACCCATTTTTTGTACGATTTTTACAGCATTTGCAACTTAACTGGGAAACTCTTGGCTTTTTGGTGATTGGTAATAATAAAATTGTGAATTTATAGTAACTGAGCCGTGGAGGAAGCAGCCGCCATCTTAGGACAGTATGATAAAGCTATATTCCAACAAGATGACCCATTTTTTGTACGATTTTTACAGCAATTACAAATTAACTGGGAAACACTTAGCTTTTTGGTGATTGGTAATAATAAAATTATGAAATGAGTGCGTAGTGAAGGAAAATTGTTCTGGACTCGGCACATTCATGACTAACATGAGTCAGTATAGTCACACTTTCTTTGTGTTTTGGTCATTTTTAAGCAGCTTTTCTGTATTTTACCTAAACAAATTATACATTTATGCCTCTTTACTGTTAGCAGATGTCAGATTGGTCAAAAATAGGGACATTTGGTACAATTCTTGTATAAAACTAGGACAAATCTTTTGGATACATCTGCTGGGACAAGGGACCTAGGCCTCGAAACTGGGACTGTCCCAAGTAAATAGGGACATTTGATCACCTTACTCATGCGTGTATTAACACTTTTTCAATTTATATAGTAACCCTGCAGTGGTGAAAGCAGCCGCCATCTTGGGACAGTAAAGTAAAGTAAAGTTATATTCCAACAAGATGACCTATTTTCTGTATTTTTGCTTTCTGTTTTTTTTTTTTTTTTTTTTTTTTGTTTTGTTTTACAGAAATTACACTTTAAATCCAGTTTAATGCGAAAATAATGTTTGTCTCATGCTTGCAATAACCCTTTTTTTTTGCCATGGAGAAAGTGGCGACCATCTTGGGACAGTATTAAAGCTATATTCCAACATGATGACTCACTTTCTGTAGGATTTTTTTTTTTTTTTTTTTTTTACAGAAATTACAATTTGAGTCCATTGTAACACAAAATTAATGTTTGATTCATGCTTGCAATAACACTTTTTCAGTTTATTTATTAATAAGCCTGCTCTGAATCTTGGAACAGTATGGAAACGCTATAGTCCAACAAGGTGACCCACTTTCTGTACTACTAGTAGTAGTAGTAGTAGTTGCAGTTACAACTTAAATCTAGTCTAACACAAAATTAGTCCTTGCAATATTTTTTGTCTATACTGTTACATTGTGAACTGTGTGGACTGTATGCAGGTTTGAAATAAATATTCTAACCACAACAAAGTGTAGTCGTAATTCTTACCAAAACATATTGAGTTGTGATTCCAAAAGAGGACAAGAGGTGTAAAAGTGTTAAAAAATAATGACTAGACTTTTGAACTTTGTTTAGATATTTAGATAATAACAGCAGACTAGTTTCCAGTTTACATAGGCTGCAATAAGTCCCATATATGACCTTTTACAATGTGACCATCCTGCAATGTTGGATGTCCTATTAACAATGGAAAGGACAGATATCTTAAAATAAATCTTAATACTTTATGTAATTTCAGTTAAGTACATGCATTTACAAAAGCTGTTATTTATTTTAAATAGTCTGTTTAATTGGTTTGATTAATATGTAACAACATTTTATTAACAGACTTTATTAACAAAACCAGTACCGATGCTTGAGTGAGTAGTGGCAGGCTATATACCAACATACAGTCACAAGATGGCCGCCCAGCTTGTTCGAGTACTGTAGCTACTATGGGTAAATTCACTCTAGAGTCTTTTCAACCTTTCCAGTTTCCAGTGAGCACAGGCCCCGCCCCCTGACGTCTTTCCCACATAGCGGAAGCCCATTGGCTGCTGTACGTGAGTGTGTGTGTGAGTGTGTGTGTGAGTGTGTGTGAGTGTGTATGCAGGGCAGGCATGTGAGAGGCACAGCCAGTCTACTCCCCCGTGAATCTAAATGCAGCGCGTGCCCCGCTCATTTTCACAGGGGGAGGGGGATGGAGGGAGGAGGGAGGGAGGAGAGAAGAGGAGGGGGAGGTGAGGTATAGCTACTGTACATGCTGTGTTACAAATGCATTTCCTCTGCAAATGTCACTCAAAGCAACAAAGGGGATTCCGTGAACACAATATTATGCTCCTATAGCATATGTATGAGGTGCATTCATTTCCATATAATCTGTTTTAAACTGTCAGCACTGTGAGAAACAACATCATGATAGACGTTTTATGGAAATGTCGCAGTCTGAAGGCATATTGGTTAGACTCGTAGATTTCAAGATATGGCAACGGTCCACAGGTTATTACCCTAAGCACTAAAACATTACCGTATATTATTATTAACATCACCAACCGAAACAACAGAGCGGAGTAAGAGTGAGGCTCTCCTGTTGATAAATAGGTAGATACTTGGGTTGGGTGGTAATACAGTATTACAGTATCCCGCGGTATCAAAAAGTAGCAACGGTATCAGTGTCATTACCATCATTTAAAAAATCTGCAGCATATAAGGACCAAATGAATGTGTGGTTGTATTTTCAGTTTAATGTTATCACGATTTAAAACTAATAGTATCTATAATGTTTCTTTTAACTGCGTGGGGAGATGACGTTCGATTAGTTTTGTTCTGTTGTCATGTGACGCTCATAAGCGAGATCAAGATAAGATGGCAAGTAGGGCCGCAAGAGAGTTGGTCCCCCCCAAAAATACTAGTACTTCTACAATTTGGCAGCATTTTGGCTTCAGGACACATTTGTTTACGTTTTACAGAAATGAAACTTAAAACCACATGACTCATTTGTATAAACTGTAAGCGCTGATAAAAACAGCTCTTTCCTTGTGCGCTGATACGGTTCAGCTTCTGTTGGACTAAAGGGCATGACTCAGTCGATTATATATGTTCTCTCTGTGACGGAGGATCGTCTGCTGATGGTGAGTCTGTTCTGTGTGTGTGTCGCTTTGGAGATGGTTCATGTGAAACTTTTCAGAGCTGTATAAGTCAGCAGGTCATACACATAAACCGTACAGTGATGCGGCTTTGTATCTTACCAAAGTTGTAGTAAAATATTTTGTTAATACGGTAATATTGTATACTCCGGTTTAACTGTATCAAAATTTGGATACCACCTGACCCTAGTAGATACTTTATTGATACCAAAGGAAATTCAATTTTCTGTAGCAGCAGCAATGAAATAGGGATGTAACAGTAACCGAAATATCATGATATCGTATCGTCAAGTCTCTCAATAATATTGTGCGCCATTACAATATATGAAATTGCAAGTTTCTCTGCTTAAATTTATTGTTATGGAGCAGCAATAACTTAAAAAAATAGAGGGAACTACATAGACCATGATCCTTTGCTCTGTTTCAGCGCAGATTACATGAAAAAATAACAATTCAAAGCACTTTTAAATCTTAGTTCTTTGGAATAGTATTGTCAAGGCATTTTAAGAGGAAAAAGTAGCATGTTCACAGTGTTGTTAGTCTCCACAAAATACGCAATAAATATCATATCGTGAGATGTAAATTGTGAAAATATCATACCGACAAATTTGGATATTGTTACATCCAATGAAACAAACATAATAATAGAGCATAATAATAGAGTTGTGTTCACTTGGTTCCTCCTGGACACTGCGGTGCTGGTGCAGAACACAGAGCAGAGACACTTTTGTCCTCGTTGCTCTTCCTCTCCTCAGCCCTGACACCCTGACCCAGATCTGCTGACCCTCCCTGACCAGACCTCCTAAAACTAAACTGCACTGAGACCTTTGACTGAAACACAAAGACGACTGAGAAGTGCAGTGGAAATGTTGCAGCAGCAAAACTCGAATTTCCCTCGGGATCAATAAGGCATCTCTCTCTCAAAATAGAAAAATGCAAAATAGATTTTAATGGCATTCTGTGGAACATTCCAGGAAAAGTAATAACATCCCCATGGAGACAAGTAGATAGCAGATATCACACCTTTAATTCCTTGAAACATGAGGCATTCTAAACAGCCACCTTGAACTTGGAAAACGTATTACAGGGATCAATAAAGTATTTCTTTCTATTAGGGGTTTGCAAAAATATCGAAACACCAATTTATCAAGATACTACATTTGGTGATACAGCATCGTTAGCTATTTTTTTGACTTCTCTACAATTTTGTAGTTTATTTAATGGAAGGACATTTGTTTATGCGATACACTTGACATTCTGAATTTACTGTTTTAATGATTAAAGATGCATTGTGGAATTTTTCTGGTGGAGGGTCCATCACCTGTTTATTTCCATGGATATGTCATTACTCTTTCTTGAATGTTCCACAGTATGACATTAAACAGCTCTACCTTACATTTATTAAATTACATTATAGTTAAAACATACTTAGAAAAACAGGCATTCTGACTGAGCGGGGTCGCCTCTCCGCAGACCTGACCTGTAACTTGGTCTGGTTTGGTTTCCATGAAGATAGAAAAGTTTAATACCATACTGTGAAACATTCCAGACAAAGCAATGACATCTTCGTGGAGAAGTCCGGTAGCCAGGCTGGTGCCACCTAGTGCCTCTGCTCAATTTCATTTCTCTCCAGCAACTAGATCAGGAATCTGAATACACTAGACAGTTTGCAAGAACCCAGGTTCTTGTGTGAGCCATACATTCTGTGTTGGCAACAATTCCCAAGATCAAGGATTTAAGGCCGGAACAAAGAGAATGTTTGATGAATTTTATCAAGGGCAAAGACATTATTGTCCTTCTTCCTACGGGATTTGGGAAAAGCTTAATATACCAGTTAAACCCGTTAGCGACACATTACGTACATTCAGCAGTGATTGGCTAAATAAAAAAAGTACCCACCTACCGTCGAGCGAACGAATCCTAACGCTGCGAGGTCAAACAGTTTCCACAAAGTGAAACTGGCCGATGAATCAGGTTAGAAACTCGGGCCGTCCCCCATAAAACTTTATGTTTATGTATTTCATATTAACTTTACA